TGTGCTGGAAGTACTCCCAAGTAGCTTAGCTGTGGGCTTGGCTTTAATCGAGATTAATAACTTAACCGAGGCTGTTCATGTAGCTTGTTTAGTTTTTCTGGGTTATTTTCTCCACAGACAGATCCTGTAAGTGTAAATTTTTTTTATTTACGTGGTGCCCGCTGGCGTGACCGCGGCGTTTTTCTGTTTATTTGGGGTGTTTCCCGCCGCCGGAAGCCTGCGCGGGCAAGGCGTGCTGCCTGCGGCTCTGCCTGTCCCTGCCTGCCGCCCTCCTCCTCCTCCCGGTGCTGGGCTGCTGCGGGGTCCTCCTGTGCTGGAAGTGGGTCAGGCAGCCGAGAGGCCGAAGCCTTAACCTGTGCTGGTGGTAACATCACCCCTAACAGAAGGGCTGTGTTCAAAGGCGTTTTGGCTTTTAACAGCTGTATTTTTGGCTCATCGTAGTTAAATGAAATCTGTGTTTGATCTAATTAGGACACATTACTTTTTCCTAATGTCAGATTTGACTTCATGGCATCATCACCTCTCTTGCTTTAATCTTTCTCTTCCCCATATTGCCTGTAATATCTACTCAAGGAGGTTATGTCATCTAGCACTTCCTAATGCCAGCTATATTTCAGGATGCAAAGATTGATTGTAGCCAACCTTGCAGTAAATAACGTGGTCAAACATGTTCTGATAAAGCTCTGTCTGTGAAGGAGTGCGCTGATGTGTCACGGTACTGCAGAAGTGTCATGAGTTCCCATTAGACAAAGGATATTGTTCTAAGGAGGGTTGCTGTCTCTGTGGGAGGTGTGAGCTGTTAACTCTGCTATTAATTCTGTGTTGGGAAGGAATGAGGCAAGATGTCTTGGCTGCTGGAGTGCTGGCCCTGCACACTTGCTTTCAGAGCTTAAAATTATACCTGACCCTTGAAAATGGGGGATGAGGGACACGGCATCTTCGTACTTTTGCTTCTGGATTTTATATTTGTGACGTGTGCCATTTGTAAACCTTTAGGTCTGCAGTAAAAGGACATCTAATCAGGCAGGTATTTCAGCAAGGGTTATTTACAAAGACTGGGCTAATTAAAAGGTATCAAATAGGTGAGGGAGGCCTGTTCATACTCTTCTATGGTTGGACAAGTGTGATGTTCACAGTGTTAAAATAAAACTGATTACTGACTGAAATACCCCTTGTTACTAGCTGCTTCACTGTAGGCAGCTGTCTGTAGGTGAAATAACACTGGGAAGCCAATCTACTTTGTCCTGGTCAGTATGAAGTATTAACCTAGGTCTAATCCAAGAACTTCTTTCTTTTCGTACACTAGTGTCTATAAGAATGACATACCTTCCTTGTCTTGAGGCTTATGCTGCTTTCTGTCATGGCAAGGAGGAGTCCATAGTTTAAAAACAGTAAATAGCCCAGTGAACCATGGCATGTTTCTTGGAATAGTCAGAAGTCTGGAGTGGGATGGGTCTGTCCTTCTCTTGTTGTTTTGGACTGTGGTTGGTATCACTCAGGAGAAGAGCAGTCAAAACACAATTGGGAATCTTGAGTTTCTCGCTTTTAAGCAAGTGAGTCATAGCATGGGACGTAACAGGATGCGAAGAGGGAAGCCTGAGCAGTTTGGGCATTTACAGTGGCTGTGTATGTTCAGCTTAGGATGTTCTGAATTACTGTATCCTAGCCTGGAAGGCGCAGAGATGCATAGCACTGGGGCAGGTTCCTTGTCCACAAGGAAAGCTTTTTTTTTCTTCCACCCATACTTAGTTTTATCTTGTACTTAAAAAAAAAAAAGTAAAAGGTACTTCTGGAAACTTGCATAGCCAAAACATCTGAGCTGAATGTGAAGTCAAAGCCCCAATACTTGCTGCCAACATGACAAGCAAGGGTTCCATGCTCTCTAGAAAAAGCAGAAAGTGTCTTGCCCAGCATCTGGTAGCATTTTCCCTCTGAACTGCTGCTTCTTTCTTGCCTGGGTTCAGTTTGATCTACTGCTGCAGGTGTTTTGATATGTGAGTGGCTGAATCACTTGAAACTGTTATGCTGCAGTTTGCTACTGTGTCTAACTGTAGTCAGACAGAAGTAAGAGTAACAAGGATTTTTGCAGTACCTGTGTAATGTATGTGAGAGACTTTAACTGTCATTTTTTCCACCTTTTCACACAGGGCATGTGTATTAGTATGTCTTTCTCAGGAGTGATGCTCAAATATTTGTAATACACTTTAAAGACTAAAGAGACTGAGTTTTTACATAAAGATGTGATGAGAGTTTACCTAGAATTTAAGACCTTGTCTCAAGGTATTAACTAGGTTTTTGTTTGTGTGGGCCTTTTTTCCCCCAAAGCTTTATTTGCTAACAGGAAATTGCAAAGACTTTGTACTTTTAGAGCTTATCTGTTACTACTTTTTCGCCCTCCTCTTCTGTTCCAGGGTTCCTTGGAAATAACACAGAGTTTAGAAGATGATCCTCTACTGGATGCACCACTTATTTCGTCTCATACATTGCATTCCCAATTGAGGCCAAGATTTCATGCTATCCCAGCAGTTTTCCTTGCCAATCTTCTGTTGCTAATACATGTGAGTTTAAGAAGCATGATTTCCCTCTGAAAATTTGCTCTCTCTCTTCTGAATTCTTACTGCTCATGTGGACAGAATTCTCCTGAGATTTGCATACATTGTTCTTCCAAACTAGTGAAGTCTTATTTGTCAGTGAATTTTCATAATGTATATGCTACATGATAACTGATCTGTTTTCATTCTGATTGTTGGTGCTGACATGCTATGACACAATTTCTTAGGAAGGAAAGCCTTTTAAATAGTATTTCTCCTATGCTGTTGGAAATGTAGTTTTTAAATAATATTATGGCTGAAGTGCTTATACTAGTTATAAGCACTAGAGGGCTAAGTAATTTTGATGCTATGCTTTCTGGAGGCTGAACTTAATGTCACGGGGAAGACTGGAGTGTAGTGGGGCTGGGTTTTTGAGTGGCTTTCCTTTTGCCAAGCCTTGCTTTTCTGTAGGTGTCTGGCTCCTATCAGGAGACTCTGGAGAGCAGTGTGAAGTGTACAGGCTAGAAATAATTTATATTAACCTTGTCTTTCCATAATCCTCTCTGTGTGCATGTACACAAAACTAAGCTTAAATACTATTCCTTCTAAGAATAACTTTTATATAAAAATCCCCTATACTGAGGTGGAGCACCTGTTGTTGGACTGCCCTAAAATGTAAACATGTCACCCTTAATGCTGGTTACCTGTTTTTTCTTGTATACACTGCTGTAGTAGATCAGTAGAGCTGCAATTCTAGGCTATTCCTGCTCACATCAGTTTATAGCCATTTTCTGTACTGAAATACATTCCTAACACCTGGAGGGAGTGGAACTAGATGTGTTAATGTTTTAACATGGCAAACAGAACAGTAAATGGACCAAATAAAATATAAGTTAGCTGGATTCTTTTTAGCTTTGTAAGAAAAGGAGGTGGTAAAATAATAGATTAAATAAATGTTTTCTTGATAACCCTCACTTTTCACTTAATCTAGCTCCTTAACCCATCTCAAGATAACTTGGGATTTAATTTGCATTTGAAGTAATGGTCTTACAGATAAAACGCACACTCCTTTTTTTTTCTTCCTACCTTCTACCTGTCTGTCTTCTATAATGTCTCTTTGAGGTATCATGATTGTGTGAAAGTTATTCTCCCTTCTTCCTCACTCCATTCACAACCAGAGCAAGCTGAGGGTGGTTAATATCAAGAGTAATTATGTGGTTCTGAAAGGTTAACTTCTGTTAAGAAAGTTGCTTGGGAAATGACAAAGATATGAAAAAATAAGTTCAAGAGTAGGAAGGGGTGGTGGGCTGTTTGTATCCATACTTAATTGTATTAATATCTAAGCTAGCAAATGAAAATCAGACACTTTCCTCCATCTTCAGTTTTGATGTGTTTCTATCAGTTATGAGATGGAGAACATTGGAGTCTTTTTCTAAGATAAGTATATTAGATATTAGACTTTTGCAGAGTTGAGGCAAATTAATTTTTTTGTTGTATACACAAGTTCTCAATTTACTTGGTGGGAGTTTGTTTCTCTCTTCAGTTCTGTTGTAAGGTATTCCTATTCTGCAGGATGAGAAAGTACCATGATTTCTTGCTCACTGAATGAAAATAGTAGAGAGTATTTTCTAAGACAAAAACATTCTATAAGGATTAAAAAAAGCCCTGTGTGTATACATATACCACAGATAATGTGCACCCAAGACTCTGCCTTCCAGTTGGCCAAAAGATTGCTGATGCTGGCTGCTGATGCAGGAGATTTGGAGAAGAGTCTAGAAGATGGGAAAAGTTATGATATAATGGATAAGTCTGAAATGATAAGTGTATGTGTAATCTGACTATAGTCTGGTCATTCTGATAAAAGTTCTAAGCAAAATGGAAAAATCTGATAGTAAATATACTAAAGAATGGTACCAACTGGCAAAGATGCCTACCTGGTGTTAATAATTCACTTTGTAAGTTACTATGATGCTGTTTCACTTTTTTCTAATGTCATAACCTGGAGATTAATAGATTTAATAGTGTTGATTTTTCACTTACAAAATTTTAATTTAAAGAAATGTAGACTGTAGCAATAAGCTATGAGGCTGTCCTGCAGAGCAGTAAACAAGTGTAATTGAGTCTAAAAATGTGATTTTTTCTTTTTTGAGGGAATATAAATCAAGTTCTCCTTAAAGTAAAAAGAGGGTCCAGAAATAAGATAAATTCCCTATGAAGGGGAGACTTGGAACAGTGAAATTGATTTAGAGGAAATTCTGGGAAGAATGGCAATTCTCAGCTCTATTCAGCTAGAGATTGGTTGCTCTTCTGGAAGACAATCTTACTAAATGATTTCAGTCATGAGTGGTCACAGAACGACATGTTGTAGTTGTAGTAAATGTCTAATCTTTATACAGTATCTCAACTCTAATAAATCAATTCAGAAACTAATACATAATGAATAAATTACACAAGGCTGTCTTTTTTTTTTGGTAGAATGTTGACTTTAAGAGTTTTCTCTTCCTTTTTCTTCCAGGTTGCTTTTGTTGTTCTGGCATTTTTAGCAGCTATGTTTTGTTCTTACCCCAATCCAAATCAGGATAAGTGCCCGGGAAACTATACTCACCCACTGAAAGTACAGACTGTCATAATCATTGCAAAAGTAATTCTGTGGATTCTGCATGTTGTTTTTGAACGATACATCCAGCACCATCACAGTAAAGTCAGAAGCAGAGGTTACTTCTCAATATACCGATCAACAAGACATCTAAAAAGTCTTCCACTGCTGATACACTCCACAGGTGAAGTGTTACTTGTTTTCCTGGCTTTTCCTTCTAAAGATTTAAACTGACACAATAGAAGACTGAAAAGTTTATATATGTGTATATTATGACCTTTAAAAAAACCTGCCTATGAGCATTTATAAGTTTTATATTTTAGTCAAATGGACCTTCTGACTGACCTTTCTGGCCTGCCGGATGCATGTGGTAAAGAACATATGTTGAAAAAATGCCCACAAGTGTAAAGTTGAGTAAAATATTTAGTCATTTGCTGGATGAATGTTTTATGACTAAAGACTAGAAGCAAGTTTTGTTTGGTGCTAGTGATCTTGATTTGCATATTCATTTGTCTACTTGGGTATGTGGCAAGACTGCTAGTCCTTCCAAGAAGTCTTCTTTTCAAGCTCAGCAATTCAAGTACAAACAGATGAATTGCCTGTTGCTCAACAGCTGTCTGAAATCAGTAAAATAAGCAATTTTTTGATCTGTAGTGGGGCTATATGTAACATTCAGCTCTACTTCTGACTGCCTCTTTCTACTTGCTATGGACAAAGGGTGGTATATGGGAGTGGTTTAACTATATATTTTAAGTTACATCACTGGCCTCTGAGGCTGAAAAGTGTTGGTATAACTAGCTGGTGTAGCTTTTCTAACAAACTACTTCAACAAATCTAAAATCCATTTAACTTGAGGGGATTTTTCACCCAGAAATAGCAGGGGAAAGGGAGCAGTGGTGGCTTTTACAGTATTTTTGCCTCTTAGAATACCACTTCCCTTCTGTAAGTCTTCTGACTTTCCCAAGAATTGATAGTTAGATGGTCCTGCTTCACAGAAAACCCTAGCTGGCTTTCTACCCAGCTACTAAGAACCAGTCAACTTGATGAATGTGCAGAAGTTCAGGCTGTGGCCACTAGATAGAGCTCTGAAGATAAAGATGTGTTTAGAGTGCAGTGACAAAATCAGGCTACAGCAGACTTAAGGATGTTTCAGAAGAGTGAAAGGACTATTTCTGCCTATTGCAATGTAATCTGGAATACTTAGGCCTGTCTTCAGTCTTAGATGGAGCCCACTTCTCCCCTACCAGACATGTGTAAATGTTCAGGTGCAATCAGTTGTGTGCTGTGGACTTTTGATGTAAATCATCTGTAGTTCAGAAGGTGATTAGCTCCATTACTGCAGCTCCCTGCCATGCTAATTGCTGCTGATACTGCTTCCATCCTGACAATTCAGTTGCTTAACGCAGTATGAAAGAACTGTGCAGGCCTCTGGCTACATTAGTGGTCTTAATACACTTAGTCCTTTATCCAGATGCTGGTTATAGCATTTCTACAGGAAAAAAAACTTTTCACACTCTGTATCAGAGAAGAGGGTGTGTAAAGAACTAGAATGCTGAAGTCTGTAATTCAACATTTGTTATGCTTATTTCAGTTAAACTTTCAGTAACTTGCAAGTATAATAATAGCCTGTTAATAGCTTCTAGAGAAGCCTCTGCAAGTATATCCCTATGAAAGGAAGGTGTTTAGGATTTTTTGCTCAGTTAGCCTCATTTAAATGCACTCAAATCCACTACTTGAAGGAAAATACTCTCACTCTGAATTGACTGATGTGACCTCTTAGGAACTGAAAGAAATTAATAGTCTTCAGGCAGTTTTGGGAATCAAAAGCAGCAACAAAGCTAGAAACTGTTTAAGCCCATGCATATATATATTAGATAGTTTTAGTGCTTTTTGTCTACTCTTGTTTGAAAGAAATTAATAGTCTTCAGGCAGTTTTGGGAATCAAAAGCAGCAACAAAGATAGAAACTGTTTAAGCCCATGCATATATATATATTAGACAGTTTTAGTGCTTTTTGTCTACTCTTGTTTTTAGTCAAAAACATGTAAAAAATTCATCATTCTCTACCATTACAATAAAATGCTAAAATGAAACCTTGGTTTGCTGCCAGCAGTTGCAAGCTTGCATCACCTGTTAAGGAAACTAGCCAAAGAGGCAAGTACAGTATAAAAAGGAAAAGCATTACTGAAATGTTGCAGCCTAATACAGTTACTGGGGATAAGAGTACTAAGTTGTTTTCACCAGCTAATGAAAGTGTTACACCTATTATATTTAACATTTGTTTTCTAGGTAATGCAGCCCTGCTTTTGATTCTGTCAATGCAGCATTCCTTTCCTGATCACAGTAAAGTGTACCTGTATCTTATCCTGGGAGTCCTGGGCCTAGAGCTGATCAGCTCCCTGACATGCTTAGTGATTTACACAGGTGAGAGGGGCAGTTTTTGCCTTCTTCAGTGAGACTTATAGCTGCTACTCAACTGTTTTGTTTGCCCTCACAGTAGCTCACTTGAGGTACCCAAAGACATTTATCTGCCACTAAATACAGAATGATTCTGTGCCTGTAGAAGAACTAAGGCAAACTTAAAACAAATGGGAAGGTTGTCAGGCTTGATTTGGTCTCTAAGTGCTGCTAAATGAAAGCTCCATGTTTCCTCAAAGCTGTTGATCCAGTGAAGTGGCAATAAATGCATAATTGTTGCAAAAGTGTCCTGTGAGCAAACTTGTCTGTTTAGCAGTGTTCTCAAGTGTGCACCACAAGCTGTGGAGCAGAAAGAGCTAGCTGGCTTAATCAGAACTGCTTCTGGGATTTACATGTGAGACTTCTATAACTGAGAGTGCCTTACACTCCAGGCTTTTTTTCCTGGGCCCACCCCAAAAGCTTCAGTTTGTCTCTAAAATGGAAGATTCCCTCTAATGAATGTTTAAAAAAAATCATGGCTTTTGGAATCTGTGCTAATATTAAAATAAGATACTGCTTCATAAAGCTGTGAGGCATTGCTTTGTACTGTCACAACTGGGTTGTAAGGTTATCTGCTTTTAGATTTGATGTAACTTACTAATACTTGATAAACCTCTTTCCAAAAACTATTGCAGAACTATCTAAAATGTTGATTAATAAATTCTTGAACCAAATAGTTTTATCTGATCTTAAAATATCTGGATTTATGGCTTGCATTAACTCAAATTAAAATAACTGAGTTGGGGGGAAAAACTGGAAAGTTACAAAATGCTAAAAAATGCAATTATTTTTGTTGCCCAAAGAAAACTAGAGATGTTTACTGTGAAGTCCATGTATGTTTAAATGACATGTAGTTCCTGCTCTTGAGTTAGATAGTTTATACTCCTTCTGAGATGCTGCTTTCTGATTTTTCAGTTACAAACAAGGAGATGACACCTCAGCTAAGTAGCATCGTTAGCACTGGTTTCTCTGGGGCTGGGGGGGAACAAAACCAATGGGTAAAACTTATAGTTTGTTCCTGGCTTCTAATAAAAGAGGAGGAAGGAGAGTGGAAATACCTTCTTCAGGACTGTGCAAAGCTTAAAACTTAAAGTAAAAGCCATTTCTATGGTGGTCAGTATTTGTGTTAATATGTTGTCTTTTGTGATTTCAAAATTAGTAATTAATCTGGGAGGTCTTTTGGAGAAGAAAACTTTGGTATGTTCTAAATGTAATGATACAGATAAATACTGCGAAGTAGCTTGGTCATCTAGGAAATAAAATGTATTCTTGACTCTCCTGCAACAACACAGAAATCAAAATGCAACAAGAAATAAGATCCCAGCTCTAAAATATGTCCTCTTACAACTGTGCTTGAATGCTGTAGGCTTGTTGGGCTTTCCCCTGAATGGACAAGCATGGCTCAGGTAGACTGTCTGCTGGAGGAATAAAGGCAATGATGAGGGAACACAAGCATGGTAGGCCTAGAGAACTATTCCAGGAATGTTGGAGATCATCCCTTCTTCGCATATGCATACTTACTTTCCTGAGAAACTCAGGAAATAAAAGAGAAACTACAAAACTTTAATAGAACACAAGGAATTTCAGTGAAACTATTTCTTACCCTGAGGCCTCTTGGAGCTCAAAGAACTACATTGTATGTCCCTTACCCTGGCAGAAAGGGATAAGCCACTGCAAGAAAGTTGACCTTCATAGTAGTAAGGTCTGAGCCTGGACTTCCCTAAGAGCTCAAACTATCTTTCTGCTTGCTTGTCACCAAGAGGGTCTTGTTTCCTAGCTTGTACTGTGCCAGTTCCTGTGCCTATCAAATCCATTAACTAGCTTATACTAGAACTTGTGGGGTGTGATCCTTTGCTTTCCAGCTGATGGAGGCTTGAAGAGTCTAGTGAGTTCTGGAACCAAGGAGAAGGAGGGGCAGAGCTGCATTGCTAGGAAGGAGTAAGGTAGTTCCTTTTGGCAACAGCTACCTTATTTCCTCAGCAGCCCCAAAACAAGTCTAAGCTTCATTCTCTAAAGCTTGGTGTGCAAAAATAGGGTTAACTTTTATGTAACTTAACACTTGCCTTGAGATGACCTCCAGTCACTCTGGGTTGCTTTTTCCAGTGAGTAGTTAACTTGTTCACTTGTTTTCCATCCCAATACTTGTTGATGTAAGCTAAGAGACTGCATGCATCTCTCACATGTAGTGGTGATTTTTTTAGGTTTTTTAACATTTTAAGCATCAAACTAAAGCTCTGCTGAAGCAAAGCAAATGTATTTGGCCAGTTTTGAAAATAGCCAGAGAATCTGTAGCAATAGTAACAGATACTCTTTTTTTTTTCCTCTGAGTGCAGAGTATGTGACTAGATGGAAGCATGAAGCTTCTTTAGTAGGATAGCTTTAAGGGCAGACCTCTGCTTAGGGTTAGAGTGCCCCTCTCCAAGGCAAGCACTTAGCAGATACCACTTACTATTAAGATAGTATCAGCTGATGTAGCTGAGCAACAGTGGGGAGATTAAGGTCACTTTACACTAGCAACTTCAGATCAACCCCTCTTTTGCATGTTACTCCTAAATTTTGGAGGGAAGGTAGCACCAGTTCATACATTGCTTCTCCATGGTAAAATAATTATTTCTTAACTAATAGAATGAGGCATAAATGCTTATCTGTAGAAGGTTCATGTACCTGACTTATTTTCATTTAGGTATTACTGCCTCACAAATGAAAGTGGTGGCATGGAATATCTGATTATAATTCTAGATATTTCTTCTTGTTTGTTGGAGCTATTTTATGAATTGTATGATGCCCAATGTCCTGCAAAGTACTACAACCTTTCTTAAAATTACCTCCATTCAGCTGTGTATGTGTATATAGCTGTAGGATGCAGAGGCAGGGATCCAGAAGTCTATAAAGAATTGCTGTGACTGATCTATAACAGACTTGACATATTTAAATCATTCAAGTGAGGTAAATGTGCATGGAATGAAGTATGATAGAGACAGCTCTAAATGTCAGCTTACAATAGTAAGTGTGTTATTGATTGGGTAGGGAGTCAAGCTTTTAAAAGGCTTACTAAATACATGTATTTAATGATGTTCATACATACTTTTAATGTTGCTTGAATAAGACTAACATTCCCACAAATAGTGATGTTGGGAATTCCACATCCATTCCTTTGTGGCTTTATTTGTGGAGGAATGCCATCATAGAAATAGCTAACCTTTGAGCCTAGCTTGTAGTTAACCTCTGGAGAGTCTTAGCATTGTTTTAGCAGAGTGGCCTGTAATAAACCCCATCATATTATTGACTTGTAAGGACAGTCTTTCTCTGCTGCAGTAATGTAGATTTCTCATAGCCAGACTGTAATGTTTTTAGTGGTATTAGATGTGTTGCTTCACAAGCAGCGCTAACTGCAGAGGCCTGAATGCGTGCTCTGGATCTCTTGGTATGTTGCCTGAATCAGGATCTGATATTGAATGGTTTTGAGTATTTTCAGCTTCCTTCCAGAAATAATGTAGAGGGTGTTTACAGCTTCTCCCACCCAACCCATTCCATTTCTGTTTAAATTTAGCCTAAACTTTATTCACAGGTGCCCAGGAATGACTTCTGGTTTTGATAGCCATCACTGCAAGGTTCACAATGTGAAGCTGATCAGAGTCAGTGTGGTTTGAATACTTAATGGCTTTCTGTAGCAAGCCTGCCCTAGTTTTAGAGCAGGCAGACAAGCTGCTGCTTCATTGCAGGTAGTCTAGTTAAGCTTTTGATAAATACTATTAAGTTAGAAGTTCTGACCTAGATACTAGTAGCAGAACTTCTTAGAACTTTTTTATGGCATGTTTAATTTATGGCCTGAATTTGGAGACTGAATCTCAGTATTCTTTCAAAGGCAACCGAGGTTTCACCTTCTCTTAGGTGACAGATTAAACTGCAGACGTTAAGCTTCCCTATTCAGGTCTTTCCTTCACTGTGATCTTTTAAGCAATGGGGCTGAGGAAAAACAAACAAAAAAACCCCCACCAAACCACTAACTTAGTCAAAGCCATTCCAGAAATGAGCAGAGATACTTTCTGCTTTTTTCTTTCCTTCCTTCCCCACTTCCCCGAATCCTAAGGCGATCTTATAATAACCTGTTACAGATTTCTTGGTTTTTTAACTTGAAGTCTGGTGATAAAGCTTTCCTCTTTTTTGTTTGCTTTCTAACTAACTTATAAAACTTTGTTGCAGTGAAAATAAGCAACTTCAATCGTGCAAAGCCAAGACCTGACATAATTGAAGAAGAAAAGATGTATGCCTACCCCAGTCACATTACCTCAGAAATTGGATTCAGGTAAGATTTTCTGTATTAAACTTGTGCTATGTTCAGCCATGGTATATAGGTAACACTGATGTAATTGTGTTACTTTCTGTAGACTTACATATAATCTTAAATCTGTCAAAGCAGAGCTGCAGAATAACACTTCTGAAGGAAATTATATGCTTAAGGCAGCTGTTTTACATCTGCAGATGAGAAGCAGCACAGTCTTCTATCTTCTATGCAGTAATAGCAATCTGTTATGATACAGAAAGCCTCAAACATGAGGACAGAAGTAATTTAACCATTTATGGCTGGCTGCATGAATCTTTAATGTGCTATAAATAACTGTGCTTAATCTGGTTTAGCTGACTTTATATGGGAGTTTGAACAAAGGTACTGGTGTCTTCTGCTATTACTTAAAGTATGCCTACAGAAGCCTAGCTTCTTCAAGCAGTTCTTTCAAGGAAGGAAATATATTGTGGGCAGTTGATAGATGAAGAGAACTTCGCAGCTTTGTTCTGCGCCAGCAGTTGGACATGATATTTAGCAGTGGATTTGGAATATATTTCCAGTTTGGGAAGGAACTTTAAAGGTGGGTGGGGCACTTAGAGGTAAGGAAGTTCTCACTGAGGCAGAGAGACTATCCAACACTAACCTCACAAGCACTGAGACTTGTTGCTTGTTCTTTGTGTACCTTCTGACTGAACATCTTCTAGTTGCTGAAATGAGTCTGGTGTGACTTAACAAAAAACAATCATAAAAACTAACATGGATTTCCATATAAGAATGTATTTAGAAATTGTCTAATACAGTATGACTTGCTTCTGTATGTATAACTTAGTAAACAGTTGAAGTGCAGAGATGACTAATACTTCACACTTCCCCTGGTGTCACAAATGCAGCAGGCACATGCTTTTATGGAACTTGGAAGTAGATGTCCAGGATACAGGAAGGATTTAGAGCTGTCCTGAATTTTGATACAATATCTGACTTCCATCTTGATATAAACACCATGGTGAATGCATGGTGGACCTCATTCCTTTCTCATTCAGCTTCTCCCCTGAGAAATTCTCAAATGCCCAGGGAATGAGTCTGCAACAATGACTAGCTGAGGAAAAGACTCTGATTATTTTTGATTAAAGAGTGCAAACTTCCTGTGAGAACTGATTGCAAAACAGTTATTTTAATTCAGCTCTATACAATCTTTCCCTTGAGAATTAAGGTCTATTGAAAAGTGAATCCTGTCAGCCCTTCAGTTGACCCTGGTTATAAGAATGTTTTTTGAATATTATGACTGCAACCTAAGCTACTGATCAGGACCTTTTCTGGTGCTTGAAGTTGGTAGTGCAGATTACAGGTTAAGGTTGCAAACTGTCTGCAAAACTTGTTCTATTTTTTCCAGTTTAACTACAGTAGGTTTTTAATTGGACCCCAGTTTTTTCCACTCTAGCTATTGTCAGCACTTTCTAAGAACTATGAAAAGGGCAATGTTCCTCTACAAAATGCTGCAAGACTGAGGAACAACTTTCTAAGCTCCAAGATGCTCACATGTGTACTATGAGGGCAGATTCCCAGGTCAGCTAGGAAGCAGTGTGTAAGGGAAGACTTGAATATGCTTAGATGCTGGTACTTATCCTTAAAAGTACTTGCTGTATCCTTAAAAGTTCCTAATTATAGATTAGAAAATTGTGTGCTCCTACAGATTTTTTTTTCAATTAACTTGGCTTTACTTAACTAGGATAGTAACACTGCAACATTAAAATGAAGGATATCTGGAAGCTGGAGATACTTTAAGTGGGAGCTTAGCTGTACATGAGGTTGTAGATCTGAAATAACACATCTGTTTGGTGCTGATGCTGTTATGGTATTGTGACAGATAATATCATTGTATATAGTATTATATCATATATTCTACTGCAGGTTAATCAAGAAATTTCTGTCTTAAAGAGCTTATGATCCCCACAGCTGAAGAAAACTATTATACCTGCTTAAAATAAGCTTATTAATGTATTTGGAAAAGGTGCCAAGGATTTCTTAGTACAATTCTAGCATGTTGTCTGGCTTGCTGAGTTTGTTAAACAGCAAGAACCCTCATACTACAGCTTTTCTGTAACTGTCTAGCAGGGTATGGGTAACTCAGCTATGTATATATGGCATGAAGTTTAGCCAGACTTTTTTATTCCTGCCTTCTCATGCAAAATGGAGGTTAAACATAAAGGTGGTGTAGATTGCCTCCTCCCTCAAAAGTTACAGATCAACAAAAGTAAAACTGAAGGAAGCAACTTGTTTAACTATTTGTTAATTAGCTCGCACATCTTCTATGTTAGAAAGCTGCTGTCACTTATTGAAACTCATATTCACTTTTGTTATTTCAAGGGAAAATTCAAGTTTAGAAGAGATAGTTGAGAAGCAAGGAGATGTAATAGAATATCTTCAGCGACACAATGCACTGCTTAGCAAGAGACTGTTGGCACTAACATCTCAGCAAATCAAAGCTTAACAGCATTTTGAAAACGGCTTGCTGGAGCTCTGGAGGGAACATAAGGTAATGTAATATCCAGACTGATTTGTACAGCTGACTTTTTCAATCCTTCACATTTTGAAATGGAAGTTAAGCTGGAAGGATGAGCTCTGCATACACTATAAACCTATTACAACTGGACACTCTGGCTCTTTAAATCATCAGTTCTGAGAAGTTCTGGAGCTTCAAGGACTTCTAATACCTAAGAGGTTAAAGTTGGACCTGAAGTAATGGTTTAACTTTCTGCAGTTGTTGCTATTATTTTGTACTGCTGTAACCTTTAAGCTCCAAACTACCAAAGTATTTTATATTTCTAGAATACAGATTTGTTCTCTAGAAAAATCTGACTTTGAAGGATGTCTCAGTTTCTAGTGCTGAAGCTGAGACTAATGTGTTCTGTCACTGGGTCCCATAACTTCCAGTGTTACAGGTGGTGTACTTCAATAGTACTATAGAAAGTAGATACTTGCTCTCTAGGTTGGTGTCCTTTTTTCCAGGAAAAGGAATGAAACTGTCTGTGCCAGTGGGGAAACTGGGCATCCAGTTTAGGATTTAAAAAAATAATGCAGTGGGTGCCCTAGAACAGCAAATCTCACATAAGTGTGTGGTATTAAACAATGCCACAATAAGTAATTTGAGCAGCTGTTCAGAATTCTGGCTTTAAAACCTTTAAGAGGCATCTTCAGGGCTTCCTATTACTAGGAGTCTGTCAGCTAATAATCAAGATTCCTACTCTGCCAACTGAACTAACATAATACAAAAATACTTGAGTAAGCTTTTTCATTGACCTAGTAACTAACTTGTGTTGAATGGATTTAAAGATCTTGTTAAAGATGCATCAGTTACATGCATCCTTGCTCTTTACTTTGACTCTTCAAAAAATGTCAGCATCTTGATTCAAAAGCTATAAAAGGTTTATGTGGGGAGATGAAAAGCAGCAGCAAACAGGTCTTCTAGACGTTGGAGAAACAAGAATTTTTGGTTCTATTTCATGGATTTATTGGGAAGGCTGGTAAAAGAACCATTGTGTTCTGGGTACTACTTTGTCTACCAATGTAGACCAAGAATTATTTTAGAAACGAATACCTCTGAGGGGACAGGGTAATCACTAGTCAAAACTGGGAAGAAGGCTCTCATGAGGAGTGGTCTTGTAGTTGAATGTAAGAAAAACAAAAGAAAATGAATCCATCCTACTTTGGTCCTAGGGCGCAACTTTAGAAATGGCTAAACTGTTTAGTGTGCAACAAACATGGGGGTTGACTCACTTGAAGGAAAACAATAAATATTGGAAATTTTGCTGCTATCCAACACTAGACTGTTCTCCTTAACTATTGTTTCTTGAAAATGCAGCCAGGGTTTTATAGTATATATGTAAAGAATACAAATGTTTTTGGTTTTAGAACTCAGGTTTTGATGTGATTGTGTATATCAATTTATATAATTTCTATGAAAAGCAGTAAAATGTGACTGTGAAGTTCATGCACAATAAATGCAAACTAAGGAAAAACATGAGTTCTGTCATTTTTTAAGCTTGTGTACAGCTGACAAAGACTACTCCAATGGGCAATCTGTAGAGATTTTCTGTTACACTGAAGTTCTTACAGCATAGCTTTGGTGCTTAAAACTAGCCAAAACCTGTAGTGACAAGGATAGCTGCACACTTGTTTTGAAGCTTTAAGTTAGTTTATACTCTTTCCTTGGTAACATTTTTCCATCACACTTCAGACTTGCCCTGCTACTCCTGTTTCTCTCTAACATAGAGGACTGTGGTGGGTTGACCCTGGCTG